TGATGATGATGTTGCTGATGTTGCTGCTGCTGATGATGATGATGGTGATGGTGATGATGATGATGATGATGATGATGACGATGATGATGATGATGATGATGATGATGATGTTGCTGATGTTGCTGCTGATGATGATGATGATGATGATGCTGATTATGGTGATGATGATGACGATGATGATGATGGTGGTGATGGTGGTGGTGGTGATGTCCGTTTGAAGACGAACAGCCGAAAGCCCTGCACCGCAAACCTTGAACAGCCCAGGTATGCAATCGTGGGGCTTATCTACGGCTTTGTCTCGCCCCCCGACAGAAGGGCATTGGCGAGCCTGAGGAGATGAGGAGTCCTTTCCCTCCACGGCCTGCTAGCGGTCTTCTTGCCTTCTCGTGTCTGAGTCTAAGCCCCAATGTAGAAGCCTGGACAAGTAGCAATTATATGAAAAATATGTCCCCAGAATCCTTAATCGGCAAGGCCCCTATATCTGAAGATCATAGAATATCCCGAAGCTCGATTTCGCTGCCATTTCTGACCTAGGTCTTCAGGGCGTCTGGCTGTAGGGATAGCAGCAACCTAGCAAGACTAAAAGCACCCCTAGCATTCACAAAATGCGCTGCCGTCACAAGCTTTTTGTCGGGGCTCTTTGGTCTAGGGCTAAGCCTTTCGGCTTGGGGGCTTAGGATTGTCTAGAGTAGTCTTGACCGAACAGGTTTTCGTTTGGAATTCTTTGGCTCAAGACCTCGTCGGACGAGGGTGGCGCATCCTGTCCACCGGGCCCTGCAAATACAGAATGACTTCAACTGTTTGATGGACATTACACGTCCTAGGCCGTCAAAACCCCGGTGCGAGAGCCTAAGGAACTACATCAACATCCCCATCTGCCAGTACGTTTTTGGCCCGCTTGGGACGGTTGGGCGCGCTTCCGTGCAGTGCCTTCTCAGGATTCAAGAACTGGATGGCGCTTTGGGATACTTGTGGAATTGCTTTATGGTCTTACGAATTCATATTGGTGCTCATTCATTCTTAAACCACAAGACAGTATGTTGAGTTTGAGCCACTCAGGGCTCAGGGTCTCGGTTTTATTGCTGAGGTTTGCGAAGTCGGCAGGGAGGTATATGAAGACAAGGATGTAAGGCTACATACAGGGTTTGTATACCAGAGTTTGGGCGGGTTGTGATGTAACTTAGGGTAAGCCAAGAATGGTGCGATGATTGAAAAACGCTGCGGAGTTGAAGCCTCATGCTTAACGGCACGCATTAGGCGTTTGGACCTCTTGGAATTCTATAGTAGATTTTACCTTCCGGCCTCAGTGTGCGCAGATGCCTTCTATCGTAATGTGTAAAGTCAGGTCGCGGATGTTCAGCTGTTTATTGGCAGCCCAGACATACTACTTACTCTAGACCCGAAATCGGCTAATTACTTCCATGTGGTCCGCTGCATCTCAGGCAGTGCAACATCTCGGCCACTCGCCAGCAGAAGCACCGAAAGGACACTTTCAGCCCCACGCCAGGATACCTTGCCCCAGCTTTGCTGTAGCTTTCCCTTTCCATGCCAGCCAAGAGTTTAGGGTTCAGGGTTTCGGTCTTTTGGGTCTAAGGCTTTGGGCTTAGTCGGCTTAGTGTTAGGGTTCAGGGCTCTTCAGAGTTACGAGATCCAATTGGCGATTGCCTGACTCATAACCCTAAACCCTAAACCCTAAACCGCAGGTGTCCTTGACGCAAATGCCATGGAACTTCAAGAGCCCTGGTGGCACTTTAAGGCACCTTTTATCCTGCATGGCTTTAGGGCTGAGGGAGTTGGACCACTTTTTTGTGCTATAGGGTTTAAAGTTCGGGATTTGGGAAACTTTTGAACTTCCTCTTGTCTTAGCATTGTTGGGTAATATAGGGCCTTAATAATTACCTATTCTTTCTTGGGGTTGCTTGTTATGGTCATAGTATAATGGGCCCCAAAACCGCATTCTAATGATTAAGGCCCTTACACGCCTCCTAGCTTCATGGGTAAAGGGTTTAGGTCGCACCGAGATCCTCTATGGCAAGTTGGGAAACTTCTGTATATGTCTTTATACTACGCCCTTACAAAAGGGTACATATTGGTAGAATCGTCGTTTTTGGGGGAGAGACGGGGTGCCTGAAGACTGGCCTCAACCCCAAACCCTACACCCCTTCATGAGCCCTGTACCTGGGACCCCACAAACCCTGCACCCGAAGCCCTAAACCCCACACCCAAGCCCGACATTCTACACCTAGTTACACCCGCCGTGCACCCAAAATCCTAGACTTCGGTGGCGCTGAAACCCAAAGGATCCTAGTCCTACGTCGTATTCGGGAGACCCCGTACAGAGGGGGCCCTTCTTATTTCCACTTCTGTCTCTCTTAAAAAGGACCTAATTATTGAGAGGCCCAAGGGTCCCTGTAAACCTAAAGAGAATACTTGCCCAAAACCCTACGAGCCATTCCCATTTCTTAGATTCCACCCCTTCGAACCCTAAAACGCTGAACCCTAAAACCCTAGTCCCCATACCCGAAACCCCTCTAGCTCCCCTGAAGGAACCCTGAAAGCAAACCCTAAACCCTAAACCCTAAACCCTAAACCCTAAAGCAAGAATGACAGAGGATCTTCTATGGGCTTCTGCTGGATCAGCTGGGCTTCTGCGGAACGAGGCAGCGGGGATATAGAGTTTGGGGTTCAGGGATCCTTTAAGGGTTTCTTGCAGGGAAGTAGGCGAATTTTTTGGGTGTTTTTGCCAGAATGTCAGCATATTTTCAGAAATCCTTAGTAAATACTGCTAACTTGTCGTATGCAATCCCCTAGATTCTTCCTGGTCGGTTCCTGCATCGCCCAATGAGAGCATGGGGTCTAGGGTTTAGCGTTTAGGGTTCTGAGGGAAGTTTCTTGTTTTGAGCTGGCAGTGCTGCTATTTACTATAGATCCCTATTATATTGTAGTAACTTGAATTAAACCCCTTAACAAGAAGCCAACAGAGTTTCCCCGTGCTGCAGGCGCCGCGGCTGGATCATCTTCGGCTGGACCTGCTCCTTGCCGCTCAGCAGCCATGGGATAACCTCATGAGGTTTAACAAACTATAGTGAGGCTACGTGCATCCAGCTTCAGGTTAGGGGTTTGGTCTAGGGTTCAGCCTTTCAACTTTAGGTTTCTTGTGCACCCGGCGTGGCCACCACCAAGGCCGCCACCCTAGATCCCGCGACGCTGTCATAGTATGAGATGCATCCATTTGCTTTAAGCCTGTACTCGCGCCCTGCTCTTACGCATATATGAGTTGAGGTGATGCAGACTTTCCCGATTGCTCGTAGTCTATGGAACCCTGCAAGAAGGGACCGCTAACATCAGGAAGCCGCTATGTAAACCCTAGCAACTTCCAGACAATCTTTATTGATATGTGATGAAAGCCTGGTCCTGGGCAGGATCATATTGGCTTGCATGTCGGTCTTGGCGCAGAATCTGGCAGACGAGGGCAACTTCGCAGTATACATGATGCTTCTGGTGGCCGCTTAGCTGAAGCCGTCCACAACGGAAACCCTAAACCCTAAACCCTAAACCCTAAACCCTAAACCCTAAACCCTAAACCCTAAACCCTAAACCCTAAACCCATCCCAAAGCGTCACATTGACATGAGCTCTTCTCGAATTCTTGACATAAAAAGAAAGGCAAGCAGAGGACTGTCGCCATGCTGGGGTCATTCACACCACGAGCCCTAACTCCTTTAGAAACCCTAAACCCTAAACTCCTAAACCCTAAACTCCTAATCCTAACTCCTAAACTCCTAAACCCTAAACCCTAAACTCCTAAACCTAGCTCCTAAACTCCTAAACCCTAAACCCTATAAACTCCTAAATCCTAACTCCTAAACTCCTAAACCCTAAACCCTATAAACTCCTAATCCTAACTCCTAAACTCCTAAACCCTAAACCCTATAAACTCCTAAACCTAACTCCTAAACTCCTAAACCCTAAACCCTATAAACTCCTAAATCCTAACTCCTAAACTCCTAAACCCTAAACCCTATAAACTCCTAAACCTAACTCCTAAACTCCTAAACCCTAAACCCTATAAACTCCTAAATCCTAATTCCTAAACTCCTAAACCCTAAACCCTAAACTCCTAAATCCTAACTCCTAAA